TCATTTATTGTTAACTTTTAACGTTGGGTTGCACATTGCTAAGTATAATGTTTAGAGAACTCACTGTTTTCTAAGTATAGAAATGCTATCTAGAGGAAAAAGAAGTTCTACATATTTTATAGGGGAAAATCAGACAGTTTGCATTATGACCTGTCCAATTACTAACTATATTTAGTGTCTGCTAGAAGGTTAAGGCAGAGTAGGTAGGGTGATGCACAGGGGTGAAAATCTGTAATAGGAATAAGATGCAGAAAGGGTAAAATGGGTCAAGTTCCTGGAGGGTGGTTTGTAACTAGTCGTGTGCTACTTGAATGATAAGCTATTCTGGGAGGAATAATAGATTGTTAAATGGTGTACAATTAAGGCTGAAGGAGGGTATGAATAACGAAAAAGAATTGATACTGCATGAATTCACTGTATTACAGCTATAAGGTAAAGAGATGGTATTATCATCAAACATTGGTGTAGATATAAATTTTCCTAGGCTTCAGCTGATGATTTTATTTCCACTTTAGTTTGAATTACACTGGGAGAGAGAAGGTTTATGTAAACACATGTACTCTTCACATCAAGGCTGAAAGCAGAAAAAAGTAACCAAGGCAGTTCAGAGGAGGCTATGTGAGCACACAAGCTGCATCCCAAGACCCCTTAAAGGCAACAGGAGAAGGAATTTGGGAAAATTATTAAAATTTATTATTTTTGTGTGGATTCAATTGAAGACGTGCAATATAAGCCCACAGAAGCTGAAGCTTTCAGGGATTCGTGGGCAGAATAGCTTTTGAGGTTGAAATGAGAAAGAGGAAAAATACACGAATCAGTTTCATTGGGCTAAGGCATGAGGGTTAGGGTTCTATGGCGATGCGAAGGGGTGAACACAAGAGAGGTAATCTATTTCACACAGCCACACCTGCAAAATGCACACACACATCACATTTTAATACTTTTCACTTATAAAAGTTATACTGGAAAATGTTCCCCCCTCCCTCATTTCTCTTCAAAAGGAAGCCCAGGGGAACTACGGGCCAGATAGCAACACTGGCTGCTCGTATTTGTCCTCTGGCTTCCCCTGGGGCTATTTTAAGCTAGTGAATCTGTGACCCTGTATACCTAAGGCAAATGCACCAAGTTATTTGGCCTCTCTGTTAATGATTTATATATTTATTTTTTATTGTATTTGTTTATAATTTATTATGGTGCTTTATATACAAAATGAGTAAAGAAAAGGGTTATCCTCAGCGTTTTTACTAGTAGCTTTGAGTGCTAATAGGAAGTGTACCCTGCCATTACCGAGTGGCTCATCAAAGCACTTACTATTTTTCCCCCTCTTGTATTGTTTATTTGGCCTGCCTCAGTAGGCAGAAATTCGGATAAGTTGAAAGGCTGAAGTGGATGAGTGAGGAGGGGGAAAGACTTTTTCATCTTTTTCCTTCTTGCCCATGCCTGTTAATGATTCATTTTTATTCATTTATTTTCCTATTGTCTGCAGAAAAAATGCAGGCAGAGTTGGAATGGAGTTCTTTCCCAGCTGGCTCAGAACTACTACACCGACTTTTCCCACACTTACTTCCTACTGAAGCCTTTGTGATGAGTGCTGGTTGCTCCAGGATGTGCAAGGTATGTAGGGGCCAATCAGGGACGGTTGTGAGCCCCTTGATGTACCAAGGACTTTTTGATTAGGAAAAACAAAACAAACGTTAGACATCTTGAGTTCCAATCAGGAAATTCTTGCTCCTGGAGAAGTAAAAGCGAACTCCAAACTCTTTCCCGCACCCTACCAGGACCTTAGTATTTTCCGATTTGCAACTCTTGTATTAGAAAGCTTTCCCTTTCAAATGTTTGCTTTTGAGTTGTAAGCTCTAACAATTAATTTTCTGCCAGTGTCATTGATTTCAGTTAACTAGAAAAAGCACGTTTAAAGTAAAAAGCACAATGTAGTTTGAATGTAGAAATTGATTAGCTCTAACAGGATATTTTTCTTATTCAATTGATGGTAGACTCTCATTGGCACATCTTGGAACCAAAAATGTCTCACAGTGATGGCTCCCTGCACCCTTCTGGCACTTAAAATGCTGGCACAAAAAGCCCTGTCTTGCCAAGTTCTGACCTCTGAGAAAGACATTGGACACTCTAAGACATTACTAAGGAAAATACCAATCTATGTCCCTGCTTGCCTGGATATTATGAACTTCTGTGGACACTACCACCCTCTCTGGGACTGCCAGTTTGCATGGAAACACATCTATGGCATCACATCCCACCATTCTGACTGTCTTTTCCAAGCACATCAGGACTGGGGAGAAATACATTTGAGAATACTTAATTATCAAATTCTCTTTTAAGTTTAATTAGCATACATCAAACATATCTTGGGCCCCCCAGTTGTAAAACACCTGTTTTCATTCCCAAGATTTTTCTTTTCCTTTAAAAATAGTGACATGATTCCCTCTGGGTCTTCCAGAAGTGAGTCAGCCAGCTTGTGTTATCAATGTCATTCGCTATCTCTTCCTTTTCTCCTTCCCATCATTTGGACAGTTGACCGTTGACCCTGATGAAATCCATCATCCGCTTCTAGTCTTAGGAAAAGTTCCCGGAAACATTGTGGAAGGGAGAAAGTTCAAAGGTAAAGCATTGGTGCAAATGAAGCTTTGGGTTACCTGTGGGTTTTGATCATCTCTTCCACTCCTCACCCCCTGAAAAGCACAGGTAAGTCGGTCGAATGACTCAGAAACACGTCCACGTTCCAGGACGCATTTCCAGGAGCAGCTGGCTACAGATTCTGTCTCTGCTGGTGCGCTGTCCCCGAGCCCCACAGGGGTGCAGCCTTCCCCGCAGTTACTGTCCCTTCCGGTGGGGGTGGGGCGTGAGGCAGTGGTCACAGACACCTGGCAGTTACACAAGTGCACACAGAACATGGCAGCGAGAGAGCAAGAGCTAAAAAGATTCTGGTTTGGACCCAAATCACTAGTCATTTCACTTCATGGAGAAAAGCAAGTGCCTTGGAAGCTGACATTATTTACAATGCTCAGAGTTTCCAGATGCCCACCCAAAGCCGAGGGCCACCACGCAGCAGAAACAGTTCAATGAACTATGTACAGAATTTACAAGGAAGTTTACATAATAGTCTACATCCCATTACCAAGTGTACCTTCTTGTTTACTTGTCTGCGTTCAGAAAACGGAGATAGTTTTGTTTGTCCTCCGCATCCCAGTAACTGCTGATTGAACCACCATGAACAAATGCTGGCACATGCCTTTTGCTTCCCTCTGGGATAAACAATTACACTTTGATTAGAAAAAAAAAATGTGGCATATCACCCTTTGGTCAGATACTATTCAAAATTGTCCATATAAGAAATCTTGAAGATAGTTTCCTTCTAGCATTATAAATATACCTTATTTTTTTGTTGAACTTGGCAAATTTTAATTGCGCTCTTTTTTGAAATGAATATTTATAAAGTAGTCATTGGTTTTAGAAAGTTGGAATTTAGTCAACATTTCTGTGTGTTGTACATACTGTTTGTCTAAGGAAAGTCTACTCTTGGATCCCTAAACCAAACTTTATTCTCCGCACCGCATTTTTCTCTTGGCACTTTCAAAATTCTTCACTGATTGTAATGCACAATAAGATGGTTTGTATGAAAACACGTATCATTGACTCAGCAGAATGACCATCCAGTCTGCTGTTTCTATTTGGCAATGTAGAGAATGGAGGCAACAGTCCTGGGTAATTCAAGCCAAACGCATCTTTACCTGGGTCTTTGCTTCATGAAGCTGGTAGGTGTAACCCACGTCACCCCTGACATTTTAAGCCAAACAACATGAGTGGAAGGGATGAATGTGTAGTCATCACTGTCCAGTGAAAGATGGGATGCATGCTGGGTTTCACAGGTTACGTTTATGACACAATATATGTCACAGTTTATGGATTGTGAACATGGGGTCCCCTGGACATGACGGTAGCATAAGAGAGTCCATACAATTTTCAGCCTTGCTGCCACTTCAGTAATGAAGGAGATTATGGCTATTTTCATGGCAAAAAAAAAAAAAAAATAAATAACCAAATAATAGTTGAACAGCAGTAACCCCTGTTTTAGGCATGGGTCTGAATCTTTCAGCAACAGGATCCGTGTGAGGGCACTTAAGAATGTCTAACAACTCTCATGTTTTATGTACATCATTTTGGGCAAAACAAGGTAGAGAGGCAGAGAAGGACGGGTATGTTTCCATGCATTTTTCAGCCTGGAGGGAGAGTGGGTGGGGTCCAAGGAGGGGAGGGTTCAGCTGGGAGGCGTCCAGAAGAAAGAAGTGGGAAAAGAGGTCATTAAAGAGAAATATGGCAGCTTCTTTTTTTTTTTTTTTTTTTTTTTTTTGGCTGCCATGGCCTCTAAAATCAGAGCTATTGAACAGGACTTGCATGATGGTGGCTGGGACCCCTTACCATCTGGAGGGCCAGACAGTGACACCATTTCATGCCTGACAGAATAGTCAGGCTTACGAATTTTACAAAGGTTAATATATAAGAATTCAAAATGTTCTTTTTTTTTTTTCCCATTAGAGATACATTTTCATCTACAAGCATAAAATTCTTTAAACTTTTAAGGCAAGATAAAAAAATAATAAAAATATAAATTACCTCAATCTTTTCCAAGAAGAATGATCTAAACGGATAAAGAAAAATTGTTTTGTTAAGGAACATGGATTATGGGTACTCCTTTCTGATTTAGCATTTCACCTCTAAACACTTTTAAAGAGCTTTGACAGCAGAATGATTTATTCCTGTTAGGCATTAGCCAGAAGTCTCCCTTTCTGTGTTTAAAATAGATGGCTACACAGTGGTTCCTGGGCGGTCATTGGAAATATTAACCTTACAGTCATTTGGGGGATTTTTACAATGGCAGAGCATCTCACCTGCCAAGGAACTAATTAGTTTCAAAATATTTATCCCCAGAAGCTAAAGATTTCCTTGACCAGGGGATTGTGAGTATACAACTAAAACCCGAATGAAAATTTGGTCCCCGTAACCTTATTAATTTCTTATGAAACCATTGAGACAATTTTCCCAGTTAAAGCAGAGTTTTTACATTTTTACTAGCGGATATTGACTACAGCCATAACCATTCATTTATTCTGGGATTCTCTTTTCCTCTTGCTTTCTAGAAGAATATCTTACAACTCTCTCTCCTTGGGCTCATCGATAGGAATTCAGCCTTACCTTTCAACGCAGACTATAATTTCTAGCAGCTGATGCTATTGTAAACATGGACCCTCATCACAGCCTTAGGAAGAAAGCCAGGTCTTTAAGTGAGGCAATCATCCTATTATTTCCTCAACCCTTATTTTACACCCAAGGAGTAGGTCCCAATCGCCTCCATAATTCATTGGTAAACTCAGGGTCTCACACAACCATGCAAATAAAGATACAGAATTCTTTGATGCTCAGCTAAAGAAAAAAAAAAAAGCAATGGGTCTTTAATGACATAAATGGTATGAGTCTCATCTGCAGCTGGTTAGAGCGATTTAGAATCATGTGTTGGGCTACTCAGAGACGCCCCTCCTATGATGACCATGACCAAAGCAACCTATGAACAGAGATAAGGCAGAGCAGTGATGACAGCGATTAATGAGTGTAGCTAGGGTCTGGTGTAAATGTTTGAAGGCCCAGTGAGTTTGTCATTGTTGTTATCTGTGGTTTTGCCCTTTTGAAGGTTTCCTTTAAAATAGAAATCTGGCCTCAGAGAAGTCTGACACCAAAATGGGTGCAATGCGCATTTCCTGAAGCAATCGTTTCCTATTTTGGAATGCAGAGCTCAGAGAGCAGAGCCATAAGGGGCCAGTTGACGCTGGTGCAACTAGCCTATCACCATTAGAAACTGCTCTCTGGAAGGCTTAAGAAATATATACTATTTGATTTAAGATTTGGCAGTTCAGGTAACTGCCCAGGCACCCTTTTCACAGCAGATAAGTCTTGCCTTCTTCATGGAAAGAGCAATATTTTTCTGAAGCAAAAATTGCTCACGATCCCCATCTTTGAAGCCCTCTTCTCCCACCCCCCTTCCTCTCACTCTCTCTGGAGCAGGAACCAGGGAAATGTGATGGCATGGCTTCATGTCAGCGTCAAGTGATTCCAGGCTAATGAATGAGTTCAGGGCTGTTCATTTGAAATAGTTAAAAAAAAAAAAAAAAGTCATTAACCCCCAAACTCCTCATTCTCAAGAAGAAAGGAAAAATGTTCTCAATGGTTACCAGGGTGGAGTCTAATGTTAATTTTAAATCAGCCAGGAAGTCTGAGAAAGAATATTTTTCAGAATGTCCGGCTCAATGGGGAGGTGAAACTGGCAAGATTGGGTTTGCATGACCTCCACCAGTGCCTGCCAATCCTCCCCCCTCTTCCTTGAGCTGAGAACCCTGCTGAGAGAATTAGGGGTGGGAGGAGTCTTTCTCTTCTAGGCTCCTCTTTGTTTCCTTCCTGGAAATCTGTAACTGGTCAATGGCTTTGTGTGTTTTTTTCTTCTGAGATCCTGGAAATTGTGTTGTTGTTTTTGGCAGTATGAGACTGTTACAGTTTACCAGGAAGCAGCTTGCACAGAGAACTAGGCCCTCTTTTCATTCTTATTTTAAAAATGAAGCGATAAAATCCAGGGCAACTAGGAAGGACTGCTCAAGAGCTGCCTATCTAACGTCTCTCTTCGAGGGTGTTTGTAAACATGGCAATTATAGAGCTCGAAAGAGCTGATAACCTGGACCACAGTAGACTGGAAAAAAAGAGGGTTGTTGTTTTCCTTTTTTGAAGTAAACATGGTGCAGTAATAAAATTGATATGCAAGACCTAAAACCAATTAGATGGCTGAATCTCTTACCTCAAAAACACAGCAGTCTCGCTGCTGGGGACCTGTGGGGTTAAAACTCAAAAGCGGAAAGCAGTCGTTTCCGAACCCTTAGGACAGACCTTAGTGTACATAGTAAAGCCAATACACGACGTTGAACAGAGAAAAGGTGATGGGGAAAAACATTCGGGACCACTTGTCTATGGAGTTCACATCAGTCAAGTCGGGGATCTTGACTTTGAGCTGCGAGGCGCGCCTGCGGATGCGCCCCTTGCCGTGCGCGTGGCGGTCCAGCGGGTGCCCGTAGGCCTCGCGGGTGGCCCGGGGCTTGCGGTAGTGGATGCTGGCGCTGTCGTAAGAGTACATGGTGGTGTTGGGGTCGCTCATGCCCGTAAGCACTTCCGAGCCGCTCGTCTCGTTCCTGATTTCCAGGGTGCTGAGGATAATGTTGCCGTGGGTGTCGACCTGACGGAGAAAGAACATGCTCAGGCACAACTGCCGGGATATTAGCTTGTTTTCATTAACTTGTAACTGATGACACCACATGCGGTTCATCTAAAACGGTCAAGAAGTCATCTTGCTCTGTGTGCGTCCTGGATCTGAGGATCTATCTATCTATCTATCTATCTATCTATCTATCTATCTATCATCAACTACCTATCATCCGTCTATCTACCATTATCTTTATCCATCCATCCATGGATCTCCACCCACAAAACACATGCATGTGTGTATACATGCATTAACTATATATTTATATTTGAATTTATAGTTACACCAGTGGCCTGGTGCATGAAATTTGTGCACGGGGATGGGGGGGGCGGGGTTCCCTCAGCCCAGCCTGCACCCTCTCCAATCGGACATCCCTCTCACAATCTGGGACTACTGGCTCCTAACTGCTCACCTGCCTGCCTGCCTGCCTGATCGCCCCTAACTGCCTCTGCCTGCCTGCCTGATTGCCCTTAACTGCCCTCCCCTGTTGGCCTGATCACCCCTAACGGCCTCTGCCTCGACCCCCACCACCATGGCTTTGTTCAGAAGGAAATTGAATGTCTGGAAGATGGCTGGTCAACCTGGTCTAATTAGCGTATTACCCTTTTAGTAGTATAGATAGATTATATAGGATAGGATTGCTTAAATGGGGGTGGGGGGGAGCCTTTTTCAGCAGGAGGAGATGCTCTTGGCAGACAAAAATACATAATCCCTGTATCTGGACTGATAGCCAGCCATACTCACTATACCGTCAAACTGGTCATTAAAAAATTGAACCGCTTTCTCACACCTTACACCAAATAGCTGTTGCCCTTAAAACCCCTCCTCAGCCCCCACCTTAGGTTCTGCCTTCACAGTTCACCCAGATTAGGTTCTGATTGGTCGGTTTCTATGCCAGTCAGTGTCAAAAGCTCCACCTCCTAGGCAGCCATTGGCTCCTTGCAGTTCACCCAGATTTGGTTCTGATTGGTCGGTTTCTATACCAGTCAGCGTCAAAAGCTCCACCTCCTAGACAGCCATTGGCTTCTCACACTTCACCCAGATTTGGTTCTGATTAGTCAGTTTCTATGCCAGTCAGCATCTCCGGGCCTATCAACAGGCCTGATCAGAGAGGTGGGACTGATCATCAGCCCCAGCGGAGGCCTGAGAGAAAGAGAGGCATGGCTGCTGGCCAAGCCCAAAGAGAAAGAGAGAGAGGCAAGTGCTGATCAACAGCTGTCACAGAGACTACAGATCATGCCCTGCTTCTCTCCAGGCCTCTCTTCGGGCCTGATCCACAGCCCCCTTGGCAGTCAGTGCTGGTTGGGGGCCTGCAGTGGCGCAGTCAGTCGAGCCTTCAGTCGTTTTGGATGTTACGGACCCTGGGTTTTTATATATTAGGATACTATTTTTGTTGTTAATAACTACCACTTATTAAATCCCTAGAGGTACAGGGTATCCCAAAAAATGTATACATACTTTAACAGCTGATAGCTAAATTTTGAAAATAAGTTGTATTTTAATAAACACTACCTTTATAATTATTCAAAGTGTGAGTATACATTTTGGGGGAACAGCCATATATACATATATTGTTTGTCTATATGTATGTATATACACATATGGTATTTTTTTTTCATTTCACAAAGGTGGCACATAGAAACTTTTGAAACTAGAAACAGGAAACAAAATAAAAAGTAAATATCCATTATATCACCTCAGAGTCCATTATTTTTAACATCTTGCTCACCTCCCACTCTTTTTTTCTGTTCATATATATTTACACACACAGGTTCTCTGGGTGTATTTTGCTTTGCAATCTGCTTTTGTCAGTTAGCAATATAACCTGGTAATCTTTTCATGTTAATAAGTATTCCTGTGATATCATTTATTAATAGCTGATATGGATAAAATATAATTGAATTAATATATTGTTAGATGTCAAGGCTTGTTTTACTTTTGTAGTGTCATGTAACCAAGCCTTCAAGGAACATATTTAAGCTAAATCTTTGTGCAAGTCCATAATTATTTCCTCTGGCTAAAGCTATTAAACCTAACCTTGAGACCTCCTGACTACAGGCGAACCTTGGAGGGGCTCACACATAAAGGAAAGCCTGGGATTTCACTGCATAGACATGGATTAAGGGCCCCTCTCCTTCCTTCCTGCAGTGCATTGCTTATCAACCACAACTGTTGTTTTTAAATTCTGAGGACACATGTCCTGGGAAGATAGTAGTGAACAAAACAGGCAAGTCCTTGAACTGTGGGTGCTTACATTCTTAGGGAGAAAAATGTTATCACATGGGAAACAGTATGGAGGTTCCTCAGAAATTTAAAAATAGAACTACCATATGACCCAGAAATTTCACTTCTGGGTATTTAGCTGAAGAAAATGAAAACAGTAACTCAAAAAGATATCCGTACCCCATGTTCATTTCAACAGTATCCTATCTAATAAAAGACAAACATGTAATTAGCCGTACGTCCACTACCCTTCCCATTGGCTAATCAGCGAGATATGCAAATTAACTGCAGCCAAGATGGCGGCCGGCAGTCAGGCAGCTTGAAGGGAACATGAGGCTTGCTTGCTTCAGTGACGGAGGACTCCAACGTTCCCTGCCTGCCGCCGCCCGGCTCTGAGCTCCTGAAGCAACAGCTCCAAAAGATACAATGTTTCAATTATAGAAGCTAAAAGATGGCAGTTAATTTGCATATACCAGTTGCGAGGGAAGACAGGACAACATGGAGGCAAAGCCGTACAGAAGGGAGCTAAGCAGAGGCCTCTAGGACAGAAACAGAGCCACGGCTGCGGAGGTGGGAGGCGGGAGGTGGGAGGGCAAGCCCAGCCACAGCGGCTGCGAGCTGGAGGGGCAGCGGCTTGGAGGGGAAGGGGCAGTGCCTGGGAGCGGGAGGGGAAACCCAGTAGGAGCGCCTGGGAGCAGGAGGGGAAGCCCAGCTGCAGCGGCTCGGAGTGGGAGCGAAGCCCGCCTCAGCAGGTTTCGCTCCCCTCTCTGCTTCGCTCCAGCCGCTGGAAGCCCTATTCTTGCAGGAATCTTCCTGCAACGGGCCTCTAGTCTATAATAATAAAAGTGTAATATGTTAATTAGACTGGACATCCTTCCAAGGCTGCTGCTGCAAGGGCTGGGGTGGCGGCCGGGGCGGCAGTTGGGGTTGCTGCTGCAAGGGCCGGGCTGCTGCCTCGGCCCTTGGAGCTCCTTGCATGAATTTTGTGCATCAAGCCTCTAGTTTACTATAACAACCTGTGTCCATGGATGGATGGATGAATAAATAAATTATCCCATATAATAAAAGCCTAATATGATAAGTGTCTGACTGTTTGACCAGTTGCTATGACATGCACTGACCACCAGGGGGAAGATGCTATGACCAGTTAGTTAGCTTGCTGGTGGGGTCCGGCTGATTAGGACTGGGCAAGATTGGCTGGACACACCCTGGAGCCCCCCCGCAGTCCCTACCCAGCTGGCCAATCTCCTGTGGTCCCTCCCTGGCCCCTAAAATATTTCTTTTAATTAATTTTCTTTCAATGTGCACAAATCTGTACACTGGGCCTCTAGTGTGTGTGTGTGTGTGTGTGTGTGTGTGTGTGTGTGTATATATTTCAGCCATAAAAAAGAAAGAGCTCTTTCCATTTTCTACAGCATGAATGGGCCTTGAGGGTATTATGCCAGGTGAAATAAGTCAGACAGATACCAAATACCAAATGATTGCACAAAAAACAAAAAGCCAAGAACGCAGAACAACCCAAGCTCACATAAAGAGAAGCAATTGGCAATTGCCAGAGGTGGGGGGATGGGAGGTGGATGAAATGGGTGAAGGGAGTTAAAATATAGACTTCCAGTTATAAATAAACTAGAGGCCTGGTGCATGAAATTTGTGCACTCGTGCAGGGGGTCCTTCAGCTCGGCCTGTGCCCTCTTGCAGTCTGGGAGTCCTCGGAAGGTGTCTAACTGACAGTTTAGGTCCACTCTCCACCTGCTCCCCATGGGGAGCAGGCCTAAGCCAGCAGTCGGAAATCCTTAGTGCTGCCACGGAGGTGGGATAGGCTCCCGCCACTGCCATTGCACTCACCAGCTGTGAGCCCAGCTTGTGGCTGAGCATTGCTCCCTGTGGGAGCTCAATGATCCACCAGGGTGCAGCTCCTGCATTGAGCATCTGCCCCCTGGTGGTCAGTGCGTGTCATAGCAACCAGTCGTTCTGCCGTTTGGTCGATTTGCATATTAGCCTTTTATTATATAGGACTATGGGTCCCTCAGCCTGACCTGCACCCTCTCCAATATGGGAACCCCTTGGGGGATGTCCAACTGCCGGTTTAGGCCCCTTTCTCTGTGGGATTGGGCCTAAACCAACAGTTGGACATCCCTCTCGCAATCCGGGACGACTGGCTCCTAACTACTTGCCTGCCTGCTGGCCTGATTGCCCTAACTGCTCTCCTCTGCCAGCCTGATCGCCCCTAACTGCCTCTGCCTCAGCCCCACCACCATGGCTTTGTCCAGAAGGATGTCCGGACATTTGCCAGGAAGATGTCCGGTCTAATTAGCACATTATCCTTTTATTAGTATAGATAAGTCATGGGGATGAAATGTACAGCATAGCAGCTATGGTTAATAATACTGCATTGCATATTTGAAAGTTGCTATGAGAGATCACAAAAGTTCTTATCACAAGAAAAAAAAGTCTGTAAATATGTCTGGTGATGGATGTTAACTAGATTTGTGATGATTTCATGATATATACAAATATCAAATCATTATTTTATATACTTGAAACTCATACAATGTTGTATGATGATTATACTTCAATAAAAATACAATAAAATAGAAATTATGTGAAACCTTAACATCTTAAATAGAACTGGTCAGAGGAAAAAAATAAAAGCAAAACTGAAGTTGTGCAACGAGAAGAAAGTCTACCTCACAGCTGTAACGTAGAATCCCGCCCCAGTCTCCAGCCTGCCTTACAGATTTTGGACTTGC